TTTTTTTTTTTCTTCAGAATAAACGCAACTTATTCTTTGAAAAAATTTTCAAATTTTTTTTACTAATTTTCTGCAGTTTTTGGCTTTAAACTATGGAAGAAATGACTATATCTATTACTGGAAAAAAAAAAAATTGTTTCTTTTTTTATTCCCCGTTCACAATTTTTTGCTTTTTTTTTTGTAAAATGTAGAAGAAGTAAAAGGGAGAGTGCAGAGTGGTGAAAATATGAAAAATTCAACAAAGAATAATGACACGATGTCGTTCAGTTTTTTGTAGAAAGTAAATTTATTTGGGTTTAAAACTGCGCTAATTGTCGGAGTGCGAGGAAAAAAAACAAAAGTTTATGGATTGGAAGGGATGACAAAATCAATTTTTGTTGCTTTTTTGGAATTATATATATATTACTCGCAGCATAAAGGTTGTTATAAATGTTTTCTACGTTTTTTACTGAAAATGAAACAAGAATTAAAAAATGCAACATTATTTAGAATAAAAGTAGTTGAGAAGGAAAAACTTGTTGTTTTGTGATCTCTTCTTCTTTTGAGAGATGTTTTTAACTGACTTTTTTTTTTTTTTTTGAATGAGTTTGCTGGACTTCACGGTTTTGTCTTATTGCTCCTTCAATGTTTTGATGGTTTGCCAGCGGTTTGTTGGCTTAACGGAAATTATAGCTATCAGCAGTTTGCAATGCTTTTTTTGCTTGTATGATTGAGTTGAGGAAGTATGAACTGATCAGAAGACAGGGGAAAAAAAAAGAAATAGGCTAATAAATGAATAAATAAACAAATAAATAAATAAATAAATGAACAAATGAATAAGTAAATAAACAGACAAACAAATAAATAAGCATGCCTAAAAAGTTTTGATTGTTGATTAACGTTCATAGAGCGTTAAAGAGAAAATTGTGGAAAAGAATGTAACTTCATAAATTCAAAACGATGATTTTATATTTATACTCTTAGGAATATTGAACTTTCTTTCTCAACTGCTCATTCGGTTTTTGACGTCACTTTTTATTGAAAGAAATTTTTTCCCACTAGTCTATTGCACTTTTACGATTCTTTTATTTATCTTGGATTTTTTTTCTTTATTCAATTTTAGATAGAAAAATTTCCATTGATTGTTAGAGATGTTATTGTATATTGATTTTATGCGGATTTTTTGTTGGCAGCAGAACTAGTAAGCGGATGAGAAGGGAGGTTGAGGAAGAAAGTAGTGTGGAAAAGTGGGGGTGAAACAGATGATCGTGTAAAATGAATATGGCGGAACGTTACTGCAATAATAGGGGGAAGGAAAGGAAAGGATCGGAATTATTTGACAACAAGCATTGACTTGGTACAGCGGTGTTTGTCTTGTTTCTTTTCTTCCGCCGCTTTTCTTCCACAGTATATCAGCTGGTTTCGTTGTCTTATTAAACCGTTGGGCGAATCCTTTAGGGTTTATGCTTATGCAGCAGGCAACATTTCATTTCACGACGCCAGATTCAGAAGTAATAATTGATTGGGATCAGTCGTCATTGACTACATTTAATGGACGGTCATATAAAGTAATAAAAGCTTAATGAGTGACGGATTCAAGTTAGCATTGAACTCGTTAATTTTTTGTTTTGATCTGTTTACTCATTTGCTTTTCAAATAACAGCTGTTCGCAATTCTATTGGCAGACAACCGTAAAGATAGCTTATTAGTTCCTTTGCCTTGTTTTTAATCTGTTCGGTCCGGAAAAAGCTGAGAAAGGAAAACGGATACGATTGTAAAGAGAAATATCTTGGTGCTAAATGGAAGAAGGGGAAGGGACAGTTTTCATATGGAATAGAAAACAAAAGCAGTCAATGTTTTGCTTTTTTTTTATCTTAGAACGGATTTAGTAAGCGGCGAGTAGTATTTTACGCATGGATGTCGGCATGGAGTGAACAAGTGGCAATAAAAATGTTAAAGTATTATTGAAAGTTTTGCTTCTTTGGAGTTTTTTGTTTGTTTATTGACAGAAATTAGATTTGTGGGTAATATTTTTGAGTGATGTTTGATCTTTCCAAAACATCATTCATAGGGGCCAATCGATGCAGTCCTCCGCTTACTCTTTTTCTACTTTGTTCAGGCGATACCGTTGTTCGAATTTCGGAAGGAATCAAAATGCCACAAACCCTTGCTCCGAATGCTCAACCAACTCCCAGTATACCGATTTCTACCTCCAGATTTAAGGTTTCAAAAGCGCTTTTATAATTTTTTGTTGTTTTTATGTCTTATTTTAACGTGTAATGTAACTCAATTTCATCAGTTGAACTCTGGAGTGTTTTAGAGCGTATCTAAAAATTCATATAGCCGTAGTCAAAATGACCTTATTATTTTGATATAATCAGTTCCATTTGCCTTCTTGTTTTTTTCTTCCTACTATGATTATAGTGAAAGGTAACATTTTGGAAATAAGATTTGTTTTTCAAAGGAAACGCTCTTTTTTTAATTAGATTACATTTTTTACCAGCAAGTGGATTTTTCAAATTGGTTTTTTCTGCGGTTATTACTGTTGTTTCATTTTTCGTATAGTAATTAAATTATCGTTTGGCCAAAAACCTTGCTTAAAGTCAGTCAACACAACTGACTGAATGTAGACAATGATATTCGTCTAGTGGAGTTTAATGCTGTTGGGTGAAATTAGGCATTATTGACTAGATTTCCAAACAAGCTTCAATAAGCTTGATAGTTTTATTGTTTTCTTTTTACATCCACTTAGTGGTACATGATTCAATTATAATAATACTTGACCAGTTGATAGGATTTATTGATTTTTTCTTTTCGTTTTGAAAAGATCAAGAAAAAAAGAGCAACTACTGCGCTCTTTTAGAGCAATATGTGGCTTTATCAGACTTCTACTAAACATTTGGAAGCCATTTGGGAACTATTTTTTAGATTGTTCCAGTAGAGTCTCATTATCAGCGAGGTCGTTGGTCTTGTTATGATTATTACGGAAACAATTCTATAAATACTGCTAAACAAAGGAATGATAAAGATAAAAGTGCAGAAGGACTTCGGATCGTAGTTCAGAAGCCACTGGGTTTCAATTCAGAAAATAGTAAGCGTCTTATACATAACTGCTTCGGTGGGAAAAACTGTATCATCTAATAGAAGAATTTTATTGTTGAAGAATGCACATTTTTCTAAAAGTTTTGTCTTGTTGTTGCTGTTGTTATTTATACAGTTTTTTAAAGACAACCATTTGGATTTTTGGAGTGTTTGTTGTATTAGTAGTAAAAGTTGTTAATTTAGATCAAGTGCTTTTAGCACACTTTGTTTATGTTTATGCACCACAGATAGTGTGCAGTAGTATGAAAGCTGTCGATATAAAGAGGCTACGAAATAAGAACCTTGAACAGCAAAGTTCCGTTTTTGTTTCATTAAGAAAAAGGAGATAACTCGACAGACTAAGTATTTATTTAGTAGTGGGAATTAAATTATATTTAATCATTTATAATTCTACAACATCATTTAGATTTGGCTTTTAATGCTTCAAATGGACTACCGAGGAGTGGTGGAGTAACGCCAAATCCGTCGGTCACAGCCCCAACCTCTTGCGTTGAGCCAGTTAAATTTGCATTTGGAGACGAATCAGATTCTGAAAACTATCTTTCAGCCAAGCAGGTAGCTTCTTTGTGCTTCCATTTTTGGTATGCAAGTTTTTTTTTTTTGCTTTATAATACTTCCTCGCTTTTGATGGTCTGCAGAAAAGCAATTCATTTAGTTGAAAAATGTTTTTTATTCATTAATAGTGGAATGCTTTGATTGTACTTTTACCTTCCCTAATATCTTTTCGTGTTTCTTTCGCTCTTTTTGAAAATAACTTCCCAATACTCACATTTTTGGTTTAGAAAAAAGTTTTGAAGAAGATGCATTTATTGTCTTTATTAAGTCTATTTTTATCAGCAACTACGTAAATGTTGAGTATTAAAAAAAGTTTTTACAGATTAATATTAGTCTTATTCTTGCTCTTGTAGTTATTACCATCTTTAATTTCATTCTTTACCCACTAATCAATTAACGTATTTATTTAATGTCTTCACTGTTGATATTGTTCTTATTATTACTATTATCATATCATTGCTTATCACTAATCTTGCGTCATACCTGTGGCTAGTTAGAAAACAAGAAACTGCGTTTTCTAAAATTGGGTTTTCTGTTTTTCATAATATTAAATCATTCTACTAGTTCTTCTTCAGTCGTCTTGTTGTCGGAAGATATTCCGGACTTCCAATGTTAGCTGTCGCTTTATTTATAATCTTCGACACTTAGTTTTGTTGGAGCACTTAAATTTGTATGAAGCTCTTTTTACGTGGTATTTACAAAAGTGTTTTTTTGCTCTGAGCATTTGTTTTTCAGTTTCTGAAGTAGACGGAGAAAGTTCAAGTTTCTCAATTGTAACAGTCATGCAACCTTCTGCATCATCTGAGAACTATTCATCTATAGTTTCACTGATCATATGGAAAGATCTGTAAATTAAAAGAAATTTTAGGATTTATAGGACTTCTGAAAATTTTTGAATAGTGGTGTTTTATTAAGCAGTTTTGCGAGCATAAACGAGAAAGGAGAAGATGGCAAAACTATTTAGTTTTTTTTTTTTTTGAGGGGGGGGGG